ATGGAATGGTTAACATGATTCTTTGGCTTTTTTTTTGAATTTGAAAACTCGTTCGAGTTCATCTTTGATGGTCTTCAAATCAGGGAACATTTCAACATTTCAAAATCTGTTGGTGGTATACCGAGGAAAAATGATGAGTTAAAGGAATCCAGCACTAATGCAAAATCCTCTCGAAGTGTTTCCAATTTACCGATCGATTCATATTTAATATCACACGGAAAACAATATTCGTGCATGGGATAGAAATGCTCGTCATGATTTTGTAAAGTCATTTGTGAGATGACCAAGTATTTCATGAATTCTGGAAACGTGACGTCATGGCCACAGTTCAGAGATAAATTACTGGAATTGGAACCTCTCACTATTCGCACATTATGGCGCGCGGTCATTGACCAGTTAACTGGATTAGGAGCAAAGAATATATCTACATGTATACACTGTAAAATCACATATTTTCGTGGGTTTTAGTAAAAAGTCTTGTTTCGTGGGGATTTGAATTCGTGGATGAAGATTTGTTGAGTAGTTATGTACGTAACATTTTGCATTTCGTGGTGGACATGAATTCGTGGGTCTCTTCCTCACTATAAAAATCAACGAAAATTAAACCTCCACGAAAATTTGTGATTTCACAGTATCCAGAAAATGCTCCTCTACTAAATGGCTCTCGAAAAAAGATAAAGAAAAAGGGCGTATAAGGCGTGTTCAATCCCCCGCTTTGAGACAAAATGTTTCTCAATTTTCAAAATTCACAGAAAAATTATATTTTTCTAAAATCATGTTCTCAGTAATGTCATCTTCAAAAACATTTTATCATTTTATTTTACTGAAGGACTTATTATTTGATAAGCTTCATCTCAAATTTGACACCTACATGTAAGCATATTTAGTGAAAAATGGGTTTACTAGAGCTATAGAAAATGAATTTGAATATGAATGGGTCAAGTCTCCATTCTTCGTTAACGCTTAAATGATGGAAACGTAAATGTGAAATCTATTTCATTTGTCCAAAAAAAAAAAAAAAAAAAATGGAATCTGAACCCATTTTATATGAAAATCGAAAATTTCTGAGAAAATGTACGCTTCAACAAACCCGTTCGTTTAAACCACACTGGCAGACATTGATAATTCATATACATGTACTTCGTAGCGTTGTGGTTAAAGCGATCGGTCTTGGACCAAATTTTAACCCTGCGCTATGGAGAGAGTTCGAATCATACGTGAAGCATTTTCTTTTTGTTTTCACATATCTTAAAAAAATGAGTGAAAAAAATAAATTATGAATAAAATATTAAAACAATGAAATACAGAATTAAATGTGTAAAAGATGATATAAACAATATAATTATGAAAAATATAACTTTTAGAATTGAGAAAATGTCTTTTCTCAGAGCGGGGGATTGACCTCGCCTTGTACGCCTCCATTCTTTGATGACCTTGCTAAACAATTGATGAGGTCCTGAGATCTATTTACAAGCATTTTTTTTTACCTTGCGGGATCATTCCCTCGAATACACGATTTATTGTCCTTTGTAGAAACGTAGACCCAGCTTTCTTGATGCGCCAAAACATGAATTCCATTGGAGTATAGAATGATATGTTATCATTCAATTCATGAAAGAATGAGTGTGAAGAATAATTACATGTAGTTTTATAATGTTTGCAACTGCTTACTAAACTGTATTGGCTTACTTTCTAAAGAAAATTCTTCGTAGATTTAAATATCTGAAAAATTTAAAAAAGCAAATACTAAAATTCAAATGTCAGTGGGAAAAACAAAATAGCTTAATAACAACTTAATATAAACATTGGACTCATTCACAACTTAACAGGAAAATAAACAAGAGGCCCAGGGGCCACAGCGCTCACCTGAGCACATCGGGCTTGAATTTTCTCCCCCCCCCCCCCCTCCAGGCATTCATCATTTGAACAAACTAGAATCTACACTACCTGAGGATGATTCCATATAAATATCACTAATCATAGCTTTGAAGTACTTGAAAAGAAGATTTTAAAAGATTTCCCTATATATCCCTATGTAAAACTTGGGTCGGCCATTTTGGCCCCACCCTAGCCCCGGGGGTCATGATTGGAACAAACTTGAATCTACACTACCTGAGGATGATTCCACATGAGTTTCATCTTTCCTGGCCCAGTGGTTCTTGAGAAGGATTTTTAAAGATATTTCCTATATATTCCTATGTAAAACTTGGGTCGGCCATTTTTGGCCCCACCCTTGCCCCAGGGGTCATGATTTGAACAAACTTGAATCTACACTACCTGAGGGTGATTCCACATGAGTTTCATCTTTCCTGGCCCAGTGGTTCTGGAGAAGAAGATTTTTAAAGATTTTTTCCTATATATTCCTATGTAAAACTTGGGTCGGCCATTTTGGCCCCATCCTTGCCCCGGGGGTCATGATTTGAATAAACGTGAATCTACACTACCTGAGGATGATTTCACATGAGTTTCATCTTTCCTGGCCCAGTGGTTCTGGAGAAGAAGATTTTTAAAGATTTTTCCTATATATTCCTATGTAAAACTTGGGTCGGCCAATTTGGCCCCACCCTAGCCCCGGGGGTCAAGATTTGAACAAACTTGAATCTACACTACCTGAGGATGATTCCACATGAGTTTCATCTTTCCTGGCCCAGTGGTTCTGGAGAAGAAGATTTTTAAAGATTTTTCCTATATATTCCTATGTAAAACTTGGGTCGGTCGTTTTGGCCCCACCCTTGCCCCGGGGGTCATGATTTGAACAAACTTGAATCTTCACTACCTGAGGATGATTCCACATGAGTTTCATCTTTCCTGGCCCAGTGGTTCTGGAGAAGAAGATTTTTAAAGATTTTTCCTATACATTCCTATGTAAAACTTTGATAGGCCATTTTGGCCCCACCTTTGCCCCGGGGGTCATGATTTGAACAAACTTAAATCTACACTACCTGAGGATGCTTCCACATGAGTTTCATCTTTCCTGGCCCAGCGGTTCTGGAGAAGAAGATTTTTTAAAAATGCCATTAATTTTTAACAAATTCATGATTATCTCCCCTTGGAAAAGGGCGTGGCCCTTCATTTGAACAAACCTGAATTCCCTTCACCCAAGGATACTTTGTGCCAAGTTTGGTTGAAATTGGCCCAGTGGTTCTTGAGAAGAAGATGAAAATGTGAAAAGTTTACGACAACAACGACAACGACAACGACAACAACGACGACAGACAACGGACAAATTTTGATCAGAAAAGCTCACTTGAGCCTTCGGCTCAGGTGAGCTAAAAAAGGATTCATAAAAATACGTTAATTATATGCCACATTAAATATCTTTTGAAATATAATAAGAACAATTGATACAAAGATTTTTTTTTCAAAAAATTGAAAATAACAACTTGAGTCTTGTTTTAATGAGTTAAATGAACAATTTTCACCGCGTAGTTTTTAATTTTTTATTCAAAATTTCACAAAAATAGGATATGAAGTAAAAAATATTTGTATGGATTAATAAGGATGGTTTCAGAGAGGCAGAGTTTTCAATATCATAGAAGCAGACCTGTTTACCCATATCATTGTCTCTCAGTATTTTTGATTAGATTTGTCCGTGAGATTTGGCATTTGCCAGTAAGATTTCACATTCAATCAATATTACATATATAAATGGAGAACAACTGCTTTTCTGAATACTAAAACATGGTTTGATAACATCACATGAACATGGTCATGATCATTTCATAACACAAGTCAAGTTGACATAACTGTGTTTGAAATCTTTTTAACGATTAAAAAGCGTGAAACTGAGACAGATGATAACGAAAATTAATTTCTCAATTCCAAACAAGTGTATTTCTTATTTCCGTATTTTCATAATAGCAAAAGGTGAGACGTATTCTGGACTAAAAATCCGTACAAAATACGGCGAAATCGTAAGAGTAAACAGGTCTGTAGAAGGTTTATAATATCTTTATATTCTAGAAATTTATATTTTGCATCATTTTCAATGAAATTAAGCCCAAAAATATAATTATGTCAATCAAGGCATCCATTTTTTGTTTGTATCATCTGTCCTTAAATCTTTAAGAAAATTACATGGCACCGGATCTCACTTCTGATGTTTTAGAAGTCCGTGTTTGCTCTACTCCTATTTTGTATTGTTTATGGACTACTGATCTTAAATGAAGGATATGGAGATAACAACGAACAGTATTGGAAATCAAAGTCCGTAAAACAATACAAAATAGGAGCAGAGCAAACACGGACTTCTAAAACATCAGAGGGCGGATCAGGTGCCATGGGGGAGTGCGCATCCCCTGCTGACCGGTCACACCCGCCATATGCTCCTTGTCATGATCGGGAAATAACAGAGAAATCCGTGGTCAATTCAATGTATTAATGACTAACAATAAGTATGAAAAACGTCAGTCAGCATTTGACTCAATTACATTTTTGTTCTTTTTTTTTTTTTTTTGCTTCTTGCTTCCTCTTATCTCAACATAGTTTTTTTTAACTATCTATTCAATCTGAGGTGTATTCTTATTTTGTTAAATGAGTGGTGTTCTTGCATTTAATTTGCCAGCATTCTAGACTGATTGCTAGATGTTTTTCCAATTTCCTCTTGGTTTTGCTTTTTTGGTAAGGGGTGATTTTGGTAAGGGGTGATTTTGTAATGTGCAAAATTTTCATTTTAGCAAAATGTTTTGTCTTGTAAAAAAGTGCTCATTATTATGTTTGTATGTATACGTATGTGAATCTCCAATATCCATGTTTCATGCATTTGGCTTTTATGTTTGAAATAAAAAGTTGAAGGTTGGCATAATATGTTTATTTGAATGAACTGAAATATTTTCACTGAAGATGCAAAATGGTCAGAACAATTTTCATTCCCTCATAGCAAACCTCAACAAATAATGCAGATTGTATTTTATCTACTCAACATATGCAGCATTGTTGGATTACAGACTTTGTAGATCAGTTGAGTATAGGATATGGCACGAGATAAAAAAGAATAATCATGTCATTTACTAATTTTTATTTTAAAATTGACATAAGTACCCGACAAATCAGTAAAAAACAATTTCAAGTTGCTTTAATTCATGTGACAATATTCCAGGCTTCTTCTGTACATTTAAAGTTAATGTTCAGCAAAAAAACTGAATTGCATAGAAATATCTCTTAAAATAAACAGAAAAAAGTTACCACTGATATATAAATATTTTTGTAAAAGTCCTGATTTGTACTCAACATTACCATAGGATTATAAACACAGATTTAAAGCATTCTCAAAGCTTGTATTTTTTCTTCATGTTGCAGACTAGCAGATAAGTTTTCGACAACATTCACCGACTATTTGACTGAAAACACCCCCTTGTCTATAAATATGACACCGTTTTACATTCCGGCTGGTCTGTCTGTCATCTCTTCAGCCTCTGTGTCTTCTATTTTTAGACCCTCTCGTTTTTCTATTTCTATAAAAAAAAATTAATCACATTAATTTTATGTTAATAAATGCATTTTTTGGCATGAGCTGAATTTTGTGCATTGGGAGAATTACCAGTATCTCCTTGCAGAGTATAAAAAGATGAGAACACTGCCGCAATACGTCAGTGAGTATTTGTAAACAGAATTTGAAATTCTTTGGTAGTAGAAAGCTAGTGTTTATATTGTATTAAAGTTTTACAAAGTACGTTAAATTGATCTTTCTCATGGAGTGTTATTATCTTTTCTTATAAAAAGTATTACATGTATACTGCATTAGTATATAGTTTCGTCATTTTGTTAATAATTGACATTTTTTCAATTCACACTGTGTTTATCATTTTGCTGTAAATCAAACAAAGCTAATAGTTTTGCTTTTCATTTAGGGCGATTATAATTTCAACATATGATGTGCAGTGATGATTCTATGAGTTGGCCAAAATATCTGAAATAGTTTAGGGGTCAAAGTGGTGCTGAAATATGGGCGTTGGGGAGCCCTAAATAGGTTTAAATGATCAAGTGACAATTACTGAATTGTGACAGTTTTTTCAACGCCATTGCAACTTGATTATACTACCTGGACAGAGAAGTCTAGAGTTGTCCCGAATTTGACCTCTGATGTGACCCTCCATGGGATGTTGTTAGATGTTAATGTAGTGAGTATACAGTGTATATGAGCAAATCTAACATCTAATTTTAATTAGATTGCCCTAGCACTTCCCTATAAACGTGTTTTACTGTATAAAGTGTATGTACATCAAGTTTTATTACCTTCTGCTATGATATCTAGGATGTTAGATTCACAGACTTTTCTGTATTCTCTAGCCTCCATGACTTTTTCTTCATTTAAATATCTCATGAAGTATTTCAACGGGACGGCAGACTCCTGTCCAATTTCAACATATCTCTTCTTTAGCTTAGGAAGGACTACTGCCTACAATGAAAAGAAAGTGTATTAAATAAATTCTTAGATACTTAAGGCTGGGTATTGGCCAAAGATTTTATATTGCAATACATTGTGATATTTTAAACTGTGTTGAAATATGTATTGCAATATTTTGATTGAAAATTGCCATGGCATTTCTTTTTTCATTGTATTAACTTCCATTTACATGCATAATGTCGAAAACTAAAATAAACAACCAAAAGAAAAAAAATTTGTTGATAACAGTTTTGCACTGAAATACATCCATACAACTGCTTCTCCTGGGCTTAATCACAAATATCTGACAACTTTTCTTTGTTCTTGGGGACATAATTTCATGGGTTATTGTTTATTCAGTTGATTAAAGGAATCAAGACATGTATAAAGTATCTACAGAAAAATAATGTTCCTAGCATATATCCACGTAAAAAAAAAGTTCATAGCAATGTACATATAAATTTGTGGATAAGGGTGACCCATGAAATCCAAAAACATTGGTCCCCCTACCCCAAAAACAATGATGATTCCACAAAAAGTTTGTTCTAAGTTTATGGCATTTTACCTGAGTAGAGCTTTAATAGTTACTTACTTCTCCATTATATCTTACAATGACATAATATTCTTTCGAGTTATTGCACTGGTGGAGTTCAAAGAGCAGATCTGAAGCGAACGGCGGCCAATGTTTGTCATCTAGCTTCAAGGCAAGGAGTAAGGCCATCAGAGATGAGTCATGGGCAGAATAAAGGAATAATCGTACTGGCCTTTAAAAAACAAAACCAAGAGGCCCATGGGTCACAACACTCATCTGAGTAACTTTGGTCATGTTATTCTAATTACCAGATTTGCCCCATTTTAAAACAAGTACATGTATCTATTGTGGCTCCTCCCTGCCCCCGAGGGTGTTGATTTGAACAATTTAGAATCTAAACTACTCCAAGATGCTTCCACATAAGTTTCAGCTTTCCAGGCCCAGTGAAGAAGATTTTTCCTATATATTTAAATGTTAAACTTGGATTCTGTAATTGGGCCCTGCCCTACCCCCAGGGGTCATGATTTATACAATTTAGAGTCTGCACTACCCTAGGATGCTCCCACATAAGTTTCAGCTTCCATGGCCCAGTGCTTCTTGAGGAGAAGATTTTTAAATAACTTTCCAATATATTTCGATGTAAAACTTAGATTCCCTATTGTTGTCCCGCCCTTGCCCCAGGGGTCATGATTTGAACAATTTAGAATCTTAACTATGCAAGGATGCTTCCACATACATGTTAGTTTCAACTTTCCTGGCCTAGTGGTTCTTGAGAAGATTTTTTCCTGTATATTTTAATGTAAAACTTGGATTCCCTATTGTGGCCCCGCCCTGCCCCTGGGGGTCATAATTTGAAAAATTTAAAATCTAAACTACCCCAGGATGCCTCCAAATAAGTTTCAGCTTTCCTGGCCCAGTGGTTCTTGAGAAAATTATTTTTTTAATGACCCAACCCTATTTTCGTATTTTCTTGCTTATCTCTCCTTTAAAGGGGGCTTTGCCCTTCCTTTTAACCCCCCTTTATCCAAGGATGTTTTGTACCAAGTTTGTTTTTAATTGGCCAAGTGGTTCTTGAGAAGAAGTTGAAAGTGTGAAAAGTTTACAGACAGATGGACGGAATGGATGACGGACACTGGGTGATCAGAAAAGCTTACTTGAGCTTTCAGCTCAGGTGAGCTAAAAAACCACCAGAAATACAGGAATAAACAAACTGGTCTATAAATACAATAAAAACATGTACATAATAACAGGTCTATAATTGTACCAATCTATTAAATACAATAAATACTGGTATAATCATATCAGTCTATAAAAGACGATGTGTAATACAGGAATGTCTACGATTATGTGAACTATTACTGTATGTGATGATTCAATTTTTTTTCTTTGAAAGCAAATTTTTGATTGCTTAAAATTAACATTTTTAAAAAAATATAAAATGGAAAACTATTCCACCACTGAGAAATTATCCAAAAGAAAAGGCACAAAACTACAAATGGCTATTAATATTATTAAATAAGCATTGGAAAAAATAATTACCTTTTTTCAATAACAAAATCTCGTATAGCATTCCTAAACTGTTCTAGCATTCTACCGCTGGACAAATTTGAAGCTATGTCATTCTGCAGCCTGAAAACAGAAAACAACATGTAAGTTCAAATTTTACAAAAACAAAACTTTGAACATTTTTTGCGCTCCTGACTATCTGCCTTTGTATCAATGTCCCGAATCACATTCAGTTTTAACAAAATATGTTATCCTGAGATTGCAGAATTTAACTGTGTAATGTTTTTGCTACTTTCTCATGTAATTAACATGGATAAAATCAAGGATAACATCAATTTTAAATGTAGAAAATCTTATTGTGTCTCGGCCTAATTAAACCAGGGTAATCAATATTCAAAAAATGCAATTCAGAGGTTAGTTTTATGTTTACTACTCATAAATGAAATCACATATTACATCCCCCTCTGCCATTTAATACCCTTCTTTTATAATGGGTGAATATAGTTGATTAGTTAATGAAAGATACTCACTCATGCTGTCCTATAAAGGAGTAAGTAAACAATTGCACTGCATTTTCAGTTATTTTAGTCACGTATGGCACTAAAACCTTGGGTATAGGGAGCCCATGAGCCTGAAATAATAAATATCTGGAATATGTACAACGTTGTGAAGAAAGGGGCATAACTCTTATTAAGCCAAAAATATTCCATTAAGGTCAAGATCTAGTAAATAACTTGAGACTAATTTTTTGGTGCTAGATCCATTATGACGTCATAATTAGTGTTGGCAATGAGTACCCGGTTAACCGGTTAACCGTCGAACGGTGCGAGTATCGGTTAGTAAAACTGCTATTCGGTTACGCGGAAAAAATACATTTTTCAGTTTCAAAGTAAATATTTATAAAATAATTTTTATGTTATTTGTAAATGCACTTTAACACATTTTCCTAACTTAATTACCGTTAGGCTTGCTCTGGTGGTTCACAAATAGGATCGATTTGTTTTGATTAGATTAATTGATGGCTTTAATTACGAGGGGGTACACGTTTTGAAGACATGATTTATAATTACCTCATTTAGACCTGTATTAGTCAGAGGAACATACTTTCACAAGATGCCACCGCAAACATCTAAAACGTGGAAATATTGTTAAAGAACGACTGTCTCAAAATCTGTCAGATTGCACTTTATGTGAATCGGAGTTGTCGAATATGGGTGGGACTACAAATATCCTGTAATGCTAAATAACCGAAAATTAAAGAATAATTCGATAACCATTGACATGTATGAACTCAACAAAAATAACAAAAATTGCAAAGTGTAACAAGGTATATGTTAATTCACCTCGATTGCAAAAATATCTTTGCTGCGTGTCGATAAAATTATTTTCTTAAACAAAAACAAATTCCCCGTTTCAAGTGACATTTAAAATAAAAATTCTTCGAAGATGATGTGTTTTCGGGGTTTGTATTTTTTGTAAATAAAGTTTATATGTGTAACATTTATTATCTATTTCTATCAATATGTAAAATGATGAGATTAATAATAAATACGGAAACTATAACAAAAAAATCATCCGAGTAACTGGGTACTCGATCGCAAGATTAAGCGAGTAACCGGTTACTAAAAATCGTTCGATTTGCCAACACTAGTCATAATCAATTTCAACTTTCTTTTTCCCGTACTTTATGGCTTTAGCAGAATTATGTAGAAAATAGGGTATTTTCATGTCATTCAATTTGAAATCATATGAAAAGTAAACCAGATACCTATATTAAATTTGATATTGATTTAATGAATAGGCCATGAACATATTAATTACCATTTTCTGAGAGACTGTAGGCAATCTGGATACATTTCCTTTGCCGAATATGAAAAAAAACTCCCGTATTCATGACTGGTTTTCTTAATTTTTCATTGAAAATGACAGTTTGAAACACAGTTTTTCATCTTGTTCACCTATAAATTATGCCCTGAAACACCTTATTTGACCAAGCTAAAGTTGTAAAGCATCAATTAAGGAATTTATTTCTCAAGTTTGATAAATCTGTAGGCACCTTTCATTTACTGGATCTTGACCTAAAGGTCCATCATCCCTCTGCTCTTTTGTATAAAATATCTTAAAAATGCTTATGTTTATCCGAAAGAAATCTTATTCATGATTGAAATGCTTACAATTTCAGTATACCTTGCGGGTATATTTTTATATAAATGACCTGTTAACGGGACAGTTTTATAAAGGAATACAGATAATAGTAATTTATACCAGTTAGAGTTATCTCTCTTATCAGAGTATCAATGAACCTTAAAATGCAAGCAAGACCATCAAAAAGTTGGTTACTTACTCTCTCCCTACAGGGTAGCTTAAAATGGTATAACTCAAACCATTTTAAAACCTCCAGGAAATGATTTTTATCATTCTAGAAATTTTTTTTCTAAATGATATCCAGTCTAAATGCGTATTTTAATTTTATAAGATGCCTAAAATATAATTTTTTTTTCAAAGTTCAGCATTTATACATGTTTATTAAGATAAAATTTTCTAAGGGAAAAAATACTTTCCATCAACTATTACACTGACCTATTTTTTTTTCAATCTTGAGTCAGAGAGGGCAAAATTTTTCTTTAATGATGACCTTATTAATATTTTTATACAAACCGATCTGGCCACTAGATCATCTCTGGCAGATATAAAGTGTATTTTGTGCTTCCAGTCATTTCCCTTTAATCCTAAAATAAATCAAAAACAAACTCTTTATCTGATGCATGTACATCAAAATGAACAGATTTTCTAACTTTTATGGCCATCCCTTTTTCTTTCTCTGTGTTCAGCACCTCTAAAATTTAAGACCCTGATATACCTACAGGTAATTACCAAAAACACAGATCATGTCTGTGATTTACAGTGATTTTTGTTTTGAATTTTTCTTAAAGGGTTCCTTCAAAGGACATGATTTTTAAGGTTGCAAAAGTAAGGCTGAAATGTTAAGCTTATGATAAATTTGACAGATACCGTATATACCCGCCTATAAGTCGGTCCGCCTATAAGTCGGTTGTATTTAATAAGCTTATATATGAGAGGGACTGACCTCATATAATACCATTCATTTTATAGCATAGAGTTTTGGACAAGAGATTAACTCCCAAAAATCTGACTTATAGGCGAGTATATACGGTACTCAACAAATACAGAATGAATTCACTTCACAATTTTGTACACAGCCCCTCACCCCCCCCCCCACCAATAATTTCTAGATTACTTATGTTGTGTGTATATTTGTTTTTTTATGATCTGAAGTGTCAATTTGAAACAATGACATGCAGATGCTAAACATTTAAACAAAATTAAAAAAAAATTAAAAACAAACTTGGAATGGCCACATGAATAAACTTCATTTTAACAAAAAAAAAAAATTGCACTGGAGACATACAATGGCAATTCAAGAAATATGCAGATATATTCCCTGGATAGAACAGAAATTTTGAATCCACAGAAATAAGACCCCAAAGAAATAAGTATGTTCACAATTTTACAGTAATACACAGTAATATGACTTGTACCTAACACTTTCTCTATTTCAAGTCTTTCCTCCAAGAACTCGGGTAAGTCCACCCCGTCCACAATGGCGGCCCTGTTGATACGCTTGAGAACCGGGCAGGTGTGGGGATTGGGAAAGAGGTGTTCATCTTCCTGTTCGGAGGTGTAAAATGTAACCTTCTTACCTAAATACACAATATTCATATCATTGATGTCAACCTTCTTTACAAATTGATAGGACTGTGAAAATGTGAGATTACCAAAGGTTATTAGATATTGAGGGTAAATTTCAACTTTAAACAAGATGTCTATATATTCAAAACACAGATGCCCCAATATGGTACGCTTATGGCTAGGGTTTAAGTTTCTCAAAAGCAAGTCAAAATCCAAGGTCAAGGTCAAAATTGTTGGTATTCAATGGAAGGTCTTGCCACAAGAAATACATCTGTGAAATATAAAAGCTTTTACTCTTTAAAACTTATTGCCAAGGTTTAATTTTTTTAAGTGTTGGTCAAACTCTACGATCAAGGTCGAAAATACATATATTTATACATATCAAGAGGTCTCCATTTATTTGTCTTTAGTTCCTTACAAATAAGAATTTTCTTCATTTTCTCATGAACTACCATGGATGAGCATGAATATCTCCATTGTAACGTCATAATATCGCACTTGACGTCAAAACCATAGTGCAACTGTTTTGCTTTAAAAAATGACTATTGAATGGTGTAATTTGTAGTAATTAATCAGAATTTGAAAATAATGTAAATTTAAGAGATGAATTTATTTTTTGAAGATTTATGAGGTACATGAACTACGTTTCATCCCGGCATATTTATCGCGGTTCATGAAATATGCCAGCGTGAAGCGTAGTTCATGTCCTCATGAATCTTCAAAATTAAATTCATTTCTTAAATGCATATGTGAAGTATGAAAGCCCCAGCAACAACTATTCAAAAATTATGACCAAGGTTAAAGTTTGGTAATATTTTGTAAAAGTGCATCATACTCCATTGTCAAAATCAAGAGGTCAAATTTGGTGGTACCCAAAGACAGGTCTTGTCACAAGAAAAATACCGTAAAATATGAAGACTTAAAGCCAGAGATGGGCAACGTAAAGATTTTACAGACAAACAGACATGGCAAAAACTATACATTACATATGTACCCCCAATTTTCAAATACAAGGGCAAAAAGAGAATTTAAATAAGGTCTCTTGTTTAATTAAACCAAACAAACCATTTTTCTCACTATACTCCTGAAGTTGCTCAGCACCAAATATCCCAGCCAGAACACAGCGTAGTGAATCTTTTGTACGGTTCATGTTTGTTGTCCTTAAACTGAAACGCAACAAAAAAAACCAACATAATAACCACATTATACCTTCTACTTCCATACAAAACCTCGTTTAGATTTTTAGAATTCCATAAAATTGCCTTGAACAATTTATTCCCGATGCCAAGAACCCCCCCCCCCCCCCCAAGAAAATATGATTGTGTTTTTACAATATTTTCTGTAGAAAAAAAATTTAAAAAAAAGAAAATATAATGGATAACTGAAATGTTTATAAGTATTCAAATGAACCTTATATACACATATACACATGCATAATACATAGGCTTATGTAACTAAGGTGGAGTTAAATAAAGTGGTATTTAAAAAGGGAAACATCCCATGATTTAATATTTCCTATTTAATTTTCAGTACTGTTGTTTCATTTAAATTTGTGGGGGCCAATTTTCATGGATTGCAAAACTTTTACAAGTTTGTTGAAATGTAATTTTGGGAATGAATTCTCTAACACTACAAAGTTTAAGAAAATATTACTTGTAACCCTAATCTATTGTTATCATGGACGATGTTGATTCATGAATTTCACAAATTAATAGATTCACCAAAATCTAATGATTCCACAGTATATTTAGGTCACAAAAACCACACACTTACTAAACTAGGTCAGGGTCAAACTCTGACATCAGCCTCCCTGGAAGTTTCCCCATGTAGCATTTCCTCAGTCTCCTTCCCAGGTTATAGGTCTGTACCTGACCTAGATATGTTAACATCCCATGTGGGCAACCACCCTGTTAAAAGAGAGCTACATCTTTAACTTACATGTACCCATCATGATAAAAGAGGGTTACACTACAGTAAAACATGCTTACAGTGAACATGCTTATCATGAATTGACGGTTACAGCGAAGTGATTTTCATTCCCCTATATTAACAATGTGGCAAAATCGCCAAACCCTGGGATTTTGTTGTAAGCATGTTTTAATGTAAATACATCTTGAGTTGATTTAAAAAAAAAGATCATATTTTGTAACTATATTCTCTCTCCGATTGTTTAATTTCATTACAGTTTCATATTTATTTTATGACAAGTCCTGTCCTGACCCATGTGACCCTGAGTACGTCCTTTCTAGACAGAGCTACATGTAGTACATGTAGGACCCAATATATTTGCGGAATACATGTATCTGTCTACTAGTAGCTTGTCGGGTATGCCAAGGCATAATTTGCATTTATTTACCAGCAAAGCCTGTTTTGTTTAAATTATCCCATGTTTCCAACTGTCACTGATGTTCCTAGCATGCCCAGGGGCTAACAAATAGATTTTTAAGGCACTTGTCCAAGGGCAAGTACATGGTCCAAATAGACTTGCCCTACCTGAAGTTTTGCTTGCCCTACCATAAACTAATTCTGTATTTATAGATATATCAAAAAAGAGGAAGACAAATGCTGAGTAAATCATGCAAGTCCCTATGCCCAGCTTTAAATTTATGGCACTTGCCCATGGGCAAGTGGTTGATAAAATTTCATTTGCACACCCCTAAAATTCACTTGCCCCAGGCGTTGGGCAATGGGATTTGTCATCCCCTGATGCCCAACAAACTAAACAGTGATTCTTTATATCTAAATTAAATTGTGAAATAAAATTGTAAATATACATTTTTAAAAATGATGTCTAATAAGTTTAATATACACAAGGCCTCAAATGTCAATTTCAATAGTCCCTTCCCACTGACGTCAAACACACAGACAGCTGCACAAGATTTACATGCATTTCAGGCCTCCTTAACTCCTGACTTCATTTTGCAAAATTTACATTCTGGTTGAATTATCAAGAAATCAGCTCACCTAACTTTCAAAGAGCTATCACAGATAAAACAAATAGAACTGTAAATATTGACTGATATTCACATATTTGTACATATACACTTTTAAATAAAAAATAAAAAGTTTGTTATAATATCAATGATTTGTTACTGTACAATACACGAACATACTGAATGTAAAATTACAAATGAACAATGATGATGATGTATCATGTACAGTCCAGTCCAATACGAAAATTCGTAATATTACAAGTTATCGTAATATAAAACTTAAATTACAATTTTTCGTAATGTAGTTAAAATACGAATACGCGTAATATAGCAGATTGTAAGAGACTATATTACGAGTTTTCGTAATCCAAGACAAATTCAAGCATTGCAAGAAATTGAGTGGTGGGTAGCAAAGTATGACGTCAGTAATATATCAAATTGTACGGCTACTGATAGCACGCGGTCAGTTTGGTCAGTTACGCCTATCAGAAAGCATGGAAATTCAAGAAGAAAGTACTGCCAGCGATGGGTGAGTGGACAATTTCTTTTATTATTCTTTTATAGGAATTTTCCCAAGGATAAGACCAATTTTCCAGTAAATTTCAATATTCGCTTAAGTATGTCGCATTGGTCTATATCACCTGAACTCCCTACTTTTCTTGCAAAGTCTACCCTAAAAATCACACCCTCGTCTCATAATTCAACTGTTCGTAAATTCTTATTGAAATACATAGAATTCAAATCTCAGTAAGAGTCGTACAAGTTATCGCCCGTGACATCTCGTATTAAACGTCATACTTTGCTACCCGCCACTCAATTTCTTGCAATGCTTGAATTTTTCTTGGATTACGAAAACTCGTAATTTAGTCTCTTACATCTGCTATATTACACGAATTTGAAATTTAATTACATTACGAAAAATTGTAATATAAGTTTTATATTACGATAACTTGTAATATTACGCATTTTCGTAATCTTATGTTTTTTCGTAATATTATTAATTTTCCTATTGGACTGGACTGATGTACATGATGTATATTTAATTTCTTTTCATTTTTTATTCTTTGATGTACCTTAAGTAATCCTAGTTTCTTATAGTATTCTTCATACTTTGAGTCAGGCGCCTCTTTCCCGTCAATATTTAACACTTCATAATCATACACTGTAGGAGGGAAAGGTTTCTTCCATTTCTTTTTATCATAGGTTGCCTGAAAAAGAATACGAGAAACGTTATAATTTTCAGTAAAACTTGCCTATCTCTAGTGCTAATTATTATCAGTGGTGGATCCAGGTATTTCATAACAGGGGGAGAAGTAGAATGATTCATTCCCCTTAAAGTCTCTATGGAACTAGTTGTGACAACTTAAAAAAAAAGGATTTCAATTTTAATTTCAGGAAGCCATGCAAATATTTTTTCCATATCAATATTCAATCTCTAGGTATCATTTAAAAACAGGAATCATCTTGATTTATTTTTTAAAAAAAATTGTAAATGTCCATATCTGGCTATCAGTGAGCTTCTTCAAAGTGCAGTAGATTCCACATTTGTTATTCAACAGATCAATGCTTGAGACTAAACTTTTATCAAGGAAAAATGTGAATGAGGTTTTGAGTAAAAATACACAAAAAAAGTTATTTATACAGATTATGCATTTCATTGATAAGCTGTTCATTTGTTTCGTTCACATTAATTATCTTGTGCATAAACTCAAGAAAGCTGCAGCTGCAGACATAAACAGGTTTTGTAATGTTGTGAAAGCTTATTTAAAATCATTTTATAAAAAGTAGAAAAAATAAAATTTAATCAGAATAATCCACACAACCTCCTCAATTCCAGGAATAAGATGCAAAGGCGTTCTAGCTCCATGCCGGAAGATAACCTGAACTTGCTTTAAACTTAAATCGATATCTTCTACTTTCTTTTTCCGTGGATGTCGATCCGTATCATCTCGCTGGCGAAAGTATGTCCATGCTCCAGTAACGCCAGCCAGTCCTCCGAGCGCAACGAGCACGAGTTTCTTCCTTGAAGAAGACATATGTCTAAGGCAGAGATTATTCGCAAGATGTGACAGCGAAGATTAAATGTCGAACCCGATGTTTGTTTTCTGCGACTTTGTAATTCCGATCCCGAGAAAATTTAAGTAAACGTATGGTTTGAACATATTTTATTGTTTTGATGTTAAAACAAAAGAATTGGACACAAGTTCTTAAAAACTTAGAACGTCCTCTCCTTTACAACAATTAATAACACAAAGTATTATTCAAAATTAATTTACACAGGAACCAAAGGTCAAGAAGATTATCTAACATAGGTAATGCATGTACAGAATTGAATTAACGTAGTATAGACAAACAAATCTAAATTCTAGTACATTTCTCAAAAACGACCAGATCTCTTGATAAACAATTGCACATTTAAAAATAAACTTTCATTTTCAGAAATACTGATCGAATTATCTCCCCATAATGGGGTGTTGCTAAAACGCGGAACGGAAAACGGAACGGAAAGCGGAACGGAACGGAAAGCGGAATATATTATTTTGGATTAAAACACTTAAAATATACAAATTATATCATAAATGATATATCTTGTACATATTCAATTCCCCACTATTAAATACAAGTTGATATTGCCAGGCTCAGTCTTTTATTTACGAAAATCACAAACATATTTTAACATATCAGACAATATCAGTCAACTAGAATCGATTTTGAAAGGGGGAGGGTAAACGAACTCTTAAAGTATTTGACAAGCAAAAACACAAAAAGAAGACAATTGTCTTGGGGAATAAAACACACAAAAAAACCAACTGTTTGATTCGGGGGGGGGGGGGGGGGGTAAGTTTCAACTCCAGCATCATTCAGACTACATTAACTACTACATTAATTACATTCATAAAAAGTGTAACGATGTCAACTTGAACGAACATTTCCGTAGTAAAAAGGTAATGACTGGGGGGGGGGGGGGGGGCAAATATTTGATATAGGGATGTACCATGGACAGAGAAATAAAATGTAAAAAATAAGTATTAAGATTACGGTTAGAGCAAACCTTTACAGCAAGCTCGAATAAACATCTCATATTCACACTGGTTGTTAAATTTTATTCAAAATAGAGTTGCTTTCTAAATTCTGGACACACAAAGTTGGAAAACTTTCATGTGGTAGATATATAATGCAGAATCTTTGCATTCAATGAAGTTAAATTTTGTTTGTTTGCGGTACATATGTGTGTAGGGGTGTATATAAATAACCCCGTAAAAATGAGTTTGTTTTCCCGGTCATCAGAAAGGTCTCAGAAGTTGTAATAGATCTGCCCCTCTTTTTGTGTAAGGTTAATAAATCAATTCTTAATGTGGCTGTGGGCCCCTACTTAGACTCGAAACTGCCACTCCCCGTTTCATGAATCGCGAATTCGACACTGCGTGCATAATCTGAATATCATAAGTTATTTTTGTCTTTATAGACATTGTCATTGGAAACAAATAGAAAGAGGGGGGAGAGGGTCAGTAAAAATTTTCTAACATACAACAAATTTGACAAGCGAAAAAACCATTTTTTCCACGGAGGGTGTATATAACTCATGAATAGTCTATATGATAGATTTTTATTAGAAAAGACTTTTACAACAAGAATATTGCTCTTTTATCTGATTTATATCGAATCTATATGTTATTTGTTTGACAAAGAATTCCGTTTTCCGTTCCGTTCCGCTTTCCGTTCCGTTTTCCGTTCCGCGTTTTAGCAACACCCCCCATAATGGAACATGAGTGTCTACAATACGTGTAAATTTATCATTCTAAAAATAGCATTGAACAAGTCGTTTCTTGCGGAAGAGTAAATTCGCACAAGAAAAAAAGAAATGATATGCGTCTTCTATTTTTCCACAAGTGCATAGTGGACTGTTTATAATATTACACCTAAATAAGTCTTTATTTAGAACACAATTGTGTCTTAATCTAGTATATGAATTACACTCCATGCAGTAACGATCACCAAAAGTAAAAAAGGACGGGGTAGGTGTTCTCTGAGAGTTTATACAATTTTTGAAGGAACCAATTGTAGTGGATTATCTTGTTTCAAGAGATAAAGAATTATTCCTTATTGCAATTGGAACAAATGATGATTTATAAATATTTAATCTACACTTAGGGATACAGTAATTCTGTGATTGTCTTGTTACGTAATTTGATTCTTGTTAACGAATGTTTGGAAATATTTCTTTCAAATACTCAGGTACCATGTTATGAAATATTTTATACTTAGTTGTTCTTACTTTGGACATTCGTCTAACAGCAAGTGGTTTCCAACCAGTTTCAAAATAAAGAGAATCTCGCGATGCCAATGAAGTTAATCCAGTGACTATTCTTGCTGCTGGAAGTTGCAATTTTTCTAGTTTTTCAGAATCTTGATTAGAGCACCCACACCAAACTTCAGTTGCATATTCTAACTGAGGTCTTATAAAAGTAGTATATAAAAGAGATAATTTTAGCACTGACCTTGAACTACAATTTTTTTAAGTAGACCTAATTTTTTATATGCATTGGCTACGATAGAATCAATGTTCGCTGACCAAGTGAGGTCGTTTGAAAAGAGAATACCTAAGTGATTATGTGATGATACAAAATCTAAATCACAATCTTGAAATTTTAGCAATGATAAATCTACGTTTTTTCTTAGTACTAAAAAATACAGCTTTGGTTTTCGTAGGATTAAATTTCAATAGCCACTGTTTAGACCACCGCTCAAGTTGATTTAAATCATTATTCAATCCTGATTGAATATCTTGTACATCTTCTGAACATTTCTGTAAAGAATTATCATCAGCATACAACCTGCTTAAGGTCGACAAATTTTCAGCAACATCATTGACATATATCAAGAATAAAAGTGGTCCCAATACAGACCCCTGGGGGACTCCAGCATGTAAAGATTTAAAACTAGACATAGTATTCCTATGTGATACCCTTTGTGTCCTTAAATCTAAATAACTTTGAAACCATAGTAATAACTTATCACTAATACCATATGTTTGTAACTTAAAGAGAAGACCTTTATGCCAAACCTATCAAATGCCTTAGACAAATCACAAAAACCATACAACAGTGTTTTCCTTCATCTATAGCTTTAGCTATACAATCGAATGTCTCAATAAGTTGATAAACTGTTGAATGACCTGGTAAAAAGCCAGCCTGATATTTGTAAAAAAGATTGTTTGAATGAAAATAATTATAAACATATTTAAAAATAACTCGCTCCATAATTTTACCAACGCAGCTTAATAATGATACAGGTCTATAATTTGATAATAATGATGGGTCACCTTTTTTAAATAAAGGAAGTACATTAGCTACCTTCCACTGTTTAGGAAATATACATTCTCTTAATGATCTGTTAAACAAAATACACAAAGGATAAGAGACGCTAAAAAATGGTAGCTTTTAACATTTTTGGAAAAAGAGCACCAAAGACCCAGATTTTGACATCATTTCCTGGTTGAACAAGATGAAGCAGAGTAATAAATGGGTAGGCTTTACCTGATTGGCTGAATTGAGGTATGTAAATATTTTCATTTTAAAGTAAAAATATTAATGTTTGAAATAAATGATGGAATGTGGGAATATTACAAAAATTCTAGAAATACCAGGGGAGATTGTAGGAGTGGGGATTGATATTTTTGGCAGGATGTCATTTACTGCCGATCTCTGTAAGTTCTAAATAACTGCAAATTTGACCTATAAACGCCGCGGAACGGTATATTTTTTTTCGTGTTTTTAATAAGTGCTTAGAACGAACTTTCAAAT